TAGCTTGATTAAACCCCCCTCTTATTTTCTTTTCTAAAACCATACTTCTCTGTGACTTTGCCTTTGCTTTTTCTTTGTCTATACAAGATCTTCAATAAAGTGAAAATGTTACATTGTGGTTACTTTTATAAACCAGTACAATACATCAAGAAAAAAAAAGTCTTTTGACATCTATTAAAAGGAGCATAATCTGCCAAAGCAGTAACTTCACACGTGACAGTCAAAAGTAAAACATAACAACGTAAATAACTTCTGCCTCATTTCTACAACTGTAGCAAAAGCTCCCAAAAGTGCTTACCCAGAGGAAGAGTTCAGAGCCTCCACTGCAGCAGGATGCTCTGAATGTGTGCTATCAGCACACACATCTACCACACCATACAAGATGTCACTGATAATTCAGTGTCTACAGACCCATTTTTAAACCAAGCTCCCATTCCCAGCTCATCTGCTGAGGACGCTAGTGTGGCTCTGAATGAGTATTTGGGAAAAAAATGTATTCATCCATGGTAGGCTTCCCAGGTGAGCAAAGAGAAAAACAGCAGAGAAAGCTGCACAGTGGGATTCTGCCTGGCAAAATCTGATGTGGCACTGGACAAAAGAGCTGGCTGGGGACATGGAGGGGCCTTCCACAACTGTCTGTGCAACTGGCTTTCTTCCTATTGCTCTGCACTACCATGCTTTACTTAAAAGTCAGTAAATAAAACAATAAAAACTTTTCAGAAAGATATTTCTTCAGATGTCAGCTATTTGTCTGGGCAGCTTTAGCAGCCAGAAAAAGACCAGGCATGCCACATTTCTGGGAACACTTCTCCATCTTTTTCATTTTATGTTTTAACACAGATAACTTCAAAGGAGATAAGGCATTTCACACACACGAGTGACTGAACATAAGTACTGCTCTCACACATTCAACTCCCTGAGAAGCTGACAAATTAATTCTATTTAATTTATAGCAAAGCTCTATCTTAGCTATTTTTAAGTGTCATGTTTCAAATCTTGCAAGGTTTGCAGTTAAACTTACAGTTACATCTCTTAGTAAGAAAAATGAATTTGTTATCAATAAATACTGACTGAAAAAGACTCAACAGGGCAAGGATCAAAAGCACAGAGCAGTTTTTCCCTTATGCAACCATTTCCCACACTTGGCAGTATACCTGAACGTTTTAAAACAACCCCAAGTAGTAACTAATAAATAACTTCATCCAAAGATGTTTGTGAACTTGGAAAAACATGGTACAATAATACTGCAGTTCTCTACTAATTATAACTTGCCAATTTTTGAACTGTCTTGCTATATTTAACTTTTTGGTGATGAATTCTCTGAGTGTTTGAAGGGGAGGATCACAGAGCAAACAGATCTTCAGAAAGGAACTCGGAATTTAATTACAAGTAGCAGATTTTCAATAAACAGAAAGGTAGCTACAACATGTAGCAATATCCCCCAGAATTTTGTGCCCTTCTGGATAGGCTTAAAATTTGCTCCCTTTCAGCAAATTTGAAGTAGGCAGTGAGAAACTTTTTGCATTATCTGAAACTTTTGATTATCTGAAGCATCAGCTGGAATACTCAAAACAAGGAAGTTACAAAGCAAATTGCAGTTGTTTATTTAAACCTAAGCAATTTACTTCCTAAATTAACCCTGTCTGAAGAAAAGAAGCCATGAAGGCTCTTGAGGAATGACCACAGTTATTCCTGTAAACACCCAGTATTTTGGCTGCTTCCAGTTTGGATCAATCCTGAATCCAATCCTTTATAAGGAGTATTTAAATAGGGACAAATGAATATGTCATTTCATCACAAGGTGCAATAAGGAAAGCACATAAATCTGCTCAGGCTAAAGAAAGACCAAACTCACATGACATCAGCATAAGCCTTAGGTACCCTCGGTCCTGTATTTAACAGCCCAGCTCAAGTCCATTAAAATAATTCAAGACAGCCTCATCTTCTAATTTAACCTTTGTGTTTGCACTTGGGGGATGGGGAGGGATCTCAGCATAAAGTTTCACCTTCTAACTGCAGATATTCATCTTCCTTCTGGCTCACACCTCTGCACCTCGTGGTGCCAGAAGGATGGTACTGAGAGCGAGCAAAGAGAGGGCCGAGATGGAAGGGAAGGGGAGCTGAACTTGCACACAGTCCAGGCTAATTAACTCCCCCAATTAGACAACAAACTGGGGAAGTATCATTTTCTGAGAACAGCAAAAGGAATTTTATATCTTGCTTGAGGTTTGTCTACAGCCATGGTGAACGCTGTGACTTAGGATCACTGAACAACTAAACAGGTATTTGTCCAACATCATTAATATCCAGCTTCAACCTGCAGCTAAGAAGTCATAAAAGGATATACAGCCCATTGTTTCCTTATCAAAAAATTGCTAAATTTACCAGATTTCAAGTGTACAGTGTAGAAACTACAATACTGAAATTCAACTCATATTTCTGCTTTGCACATTATTCACATAAATAGCTGCAGGCTGTTGTGGAACTATTAATTTTGAAGGAGCAGATGAGTCAAATCTTATTTTTGATAGGTAGCTGCAAGATGCCTCCAATTAGACCACGATAATCATACTTTAATAGCTGCTCTTGTAATTAAACCATATTACAAAGTGTCACAAGTACAGAAAAGCAGGGCCAGAAGGGAATTCAAAAGGTCACCAGGCTCCTTCCTGCCCCCTGCTTCAAACCACCATCAGCTATTAGAGTTCTGAAACTCTACCAAAAAAAAAAAAAAAAAGAAATCATTATTTTAGCAAGTGTAAAGAGCCTCTAAGCATGTACAGAGATTATGAGCTTTTGGAAATATCTTACACAAAAATTAAGGCTGCAAACAACTCATTATAAAAATCTGCAAAAAGTCAATAAAGAACTGATTCAGAAGGGAGGACACTGGTCAGCAATGATAATATTCACCAAAATGCCCTAAAAAACCCCTAGGAAGTGCAGCATGTACAGGACAACTGTCAGGTCTCAACTACCATCCATTAATTAATGAGAGGCCACAGAATGCAAAATAGATACCATTCCCTCCTGAGTAAATGTTTCCTAAAACCAATCAAGGAATTCCAAGAGGTGGAGTTTTAATATTATCACACCCTTCTGGGAATATACATTTGTCTGCACTTGATAATACCCAAAGAGCATAATTATCTCTCAAAGACATACTGTCACAAAATATTGCTCAACTGGCACTTTTATTTAGTGTCCTTTATTTGTATAAATACATATATCTTAAAAGGTATCAACCTGGGTTTTTAATTCCCCCCCTACAACCACTCATTAAACGCACACAGAATGCAGCAAAGTTTCAAACTCTGTGTCAACATGAAGAAGTCAATTAACTTAAGAAAAAGAATCAATGCTACCAGCATTCAGAAACATTCAGCAGCACCTTAGTTCACGCATTCAAACTCACATTCCAAGACTTTACTCCACTTGCTCTCAACACCACCAGACACAATCTCCTTCTGTACCAAGGTACATCTGTCTGGCCAAGGAAAGCCCCCAACAACAGGTAAGTCACACTACAACTTATTAAATACAAATAAATTTAAGTGAAGTGCGTACTAGCTGGCTAACCCAGTAGTTTCTCACACCACAAGAGAACCATGAAGCTGTGAAATACAATATTCTTACAACAGCAAGTCCATGTCAGATAGAATCCTACCAAGACACTGTGCCATGTGCCACTTACAGATCAGATTAGCTTAAAAATTTGCACAGGACAACTGAAAACTAAAAAAAAAAATCCAGTTATTTCTGACCCCAGAACAGGTATCATGTTTATTCTACTTCAGAGAATATTTCCTGGCATTTTTTTTCTGTCACCAGTGAAAGGCATGTGCCATATCAACAGGAATTAGGTAGTAGCTATTAACTAAAGGTACACAGTGTTTTAGATAGTAAAAATCTATTAGTTAAAAGCTTTGATACCAAGGCACAAGCTCAGGATGTTAAATTTCCTCTGACAGCCTATGATTGCATGAGCTCTCCGTGCTAAAAAGGAAGACACACTTCCTGATGAGAGCAAAACACAGGGCCTTGAACTAAGAGTTTCTGACAGGTAAGTTTAAAAAAAACCCACAAGCATAAAAAAAACTTTTCAGTATGTTGATGCTAATCAAATTTCTTTTCTGATCTACACTGAAACTGTTCTTCTACACATTGATACTTGCCTCACTGAAACTGAAGAGGCTCGGTCATGTAATTTAATTTTTGACTCATCATGCAAATTAAATCACACCATTCCCATATTTTAAATAAATCGTGAGTACCTACGTGATCCCTCACCAAAAATTAAAATTAAAAAAAAAAGAAAAAATTAAAAAGCCACCAACACTAGGTACATCTTAATACCGGTAGTATTTCACGGGAAAAAAAGAGACAAAACTTTTTTTTCTCCTATTTAACATGCTGTGTTAGCTTTGTATGGGGCAGTCTGAAGGAAAACAGGCTCCGAGCAGCCCCCACGCACAACTCCTGCTCCAGAGGCCCATCGGGGCTCCCAACGGGAACAATTGTAGGAAGAGGCCTCAGACCAGGACCCCGGGAGGCCGCGCCAGGCAGTGCGGGGTCCGCAGCCTGGGCCGGTCCGTGCGGCCACGGCCGTAACAAAGAGCCCCCGGCCCGGCCCGGCCCTGCCGCTGTGCCGGGACCGGCGCTGCTCTGGGGGCGGCCCGGTCGCCGCGGCCGCTCCGGGGTTCCCCCCGCGCCGCTTCCCGGTGATCGCTCCTGGCCCGGCGCTGGAAGAGCTCCGGGACCGCGGCACTGCCACCCGGGAGGCGCAGCCCGGGCCGTGCCCATCCCCGCACGGTTTCCCCCGCACCCGCGGCACCCACCCCCGGCCCAGCCGCGCCCGGCCCGGCGGGTCCCTCCCGGCAACCAGCGGGGAGCGGGCCGGGAGCGCGGCGGGCACCGTGCGGGCCGTGCTGCCCGCAGGGCACGGCCGGGCCCCGCGTCGGACAATGCCCGCGGCCGCGACCCCCTCAGCCCGGCGGTACCTGCGCGTGCGGCGGGCAGGGCCCGCCCTGGCGGCTCTGGGCTCTGTGCTCCGGCTCTCGGTGCGGCAGAGGCGGCGCGCCCCGCTCGCCCGGCCCGTCCCCCCCCCCCCGCGTTCCGCGCTCCGCGGCGTCGCTCCGGCCCTGCTTCCGCCCGCCGCGCCCCACACCGCCCCCTGCCGGCGCGGAGGACCCAGGGCGGCGCCTGCGCGGGGTGGCCCCGGCATCGCCCCACCCACCCCTGCCTGTCGTTATTTCCTCGTTTTGCTGTTCCTTGTTCTGTTGTTTTTCGTCTTTATTAGAGTCGAAGAATCCTCGAGGTTAAGAGAAACCTTTAAGATCGTCCAGTGCAACCGTCCACCAGTGTAACCCTTAAACCACATCGCCCAGTGCCAGATCCAGACTCCTCGTACCAGGGACGGTGACGCCACCACCTCCCTGGGAAACCTATTCCAATGACTGACCAAACTAAGAGGGGGAAAAAATTTTTGTACTATCTGATCCGAATCTCCTCTGTCTCGGCTTAAGGCCACTTCCTTTTGTCCTCTCCCTGCAGGCACGGCAGAAGGGACCAGCCCCACCTCACTGCAACCTCCTCTCAGATGGTTGTAGTTAACGACCAAGTCCCCCTGAGCCTCCTTTTCTCAAGACTAAACCAGCCCAGCTCCCTGAGCTGTTCCTCATAAGACAAGTTTTCTAGAACCTTCACGAGCCCTGTTGCCCTCCTCTATTCCCGCTCCATTTTAAAGTGAGGGGCCCAAAACTGAACATGAAACCCCAGGTGCAGCCTATTCTTTTATTCTTTATTAGTACCCGGTATTCTTTTTGATTAATTGTTGTTTAAATTTATTATTTGGTATTTACTGATTTATAATTTGTATTTATTATTCTTTTTCATTATTATTGCCCCCTTCCTGCAGACCCTCCTCACCCTCTGCACTGCCACAAAGCTCCTTTCCCATGTAGTGACCTTCAGGGCTCCTGTGTGGGGTTGGGATTTGGCATAGTGCCTTGGACATGGTCTGAGCGTTATGATGCATCAGGTGCCGGTGCATCAGGTGCTGGTGAATTACAGTCTGGAGGTTTTCTGCAGTTCCCATTGCAGCACGGAAGGGCTCCGGGCTGTTTTTGTGTCCCTGTACATAATACTCATCTATTATTGTCACAGTGACAAATGCAGATTAGCCTGGATCGAGAAGAGCCCACACCTTTCCCAGCAGAGATCAAGCTGATAATGTCCATTAGTGTGATATAACACACAATGTTTAAAGAAGAAAAATACATTTTTAATGGAATGTATGTCATGAATGTCTTACAAGCCACGAGGCAAAACCTCGTCCCAGCGGGTCTGCCGCAGTACTGCCGTGCATCAGTGTGAGACCTGCTGGCCTGCTTTCCCAAAACATCTGTAAGCTCCTCGTGAGCTGACAGCTTCTGTCTTCCGGTTTTTTTTTTGATTACGTGTCTCCACATCCCCTTCCTGCACTTCCTTGTCATGTTGCTGGGGAGGGTTTGGGTCAGGCTCCTCCATGCAGTAATGTTTCCCTGCAGGCAGCATGTTGCTGCTCTGAAATCCACGTGTTGTGGTTCTCTACTTTGCTGTACTGAGGGCAAGTGGTGTCAATGGGCAAAGCTGCCTCTTGACCTCTTGGGGGTCTTCTTGGACCAGCCAGCTGTGTGCTACAGCTCAGGCATGGACAAATGCTTCTGATCACACTTGCAGCCATCTCTACAATATAATATATATAATACAATATATTTATATATACTTCCTTGTATCCCCCAAATACCTACTTGCTGTTATATGAAGATGTAAGAGATGCAGCAGCCCTGGACCTGAAGCAGGCAGGGGGCACTGCCTGTGTGAGGTGACAGGACCTTGCCAAGCTCACCTTGACCCACAGTGTGCAGTCAGCAAAACGTTAGCAGTTCATATAACCCACTTGTGAGCTGGAAATAATTGTTTTCAAAGCCAACATGGAAAGAGTGTGTATATCTGAGTTCAAATTGTTAACCCATAATTATGCTAAAACCACTCAAATTTAAACAGATAATATTCAGGGTACTGATTAAAGGCAAGCACTGGTACAGGGATTCAACACCAGCTCCTGGAAAATAGACACTACCACTTCACAAATGACCATTGGAAAAGAGATCATGCAAGAAATGGGTTCAGTGCAATTACCATCCCTGCACACTGCAGGGAAATCCCTCAGCAGTGAGAGCATGATTTTTCTAAGCTCTTAGAAGCAGGAATTAAATTCAGCACGAGAGAGCTCTTAGTACATTAACGATTCACTAATTCACAGCCATGACTGAGACATCCACTGTGAATTAATTAATCTTTGCAAATTAGGAAGTGAGTAAACATGGGGGAAAAACAATTTAAAAAATCCAGGTTACTTCACTGGGAAAAAAACACAGTTAGAAAGGTGAGCAATGCAGGTCCTTTCCTCAGGAAGGACAGAGAGCCTAATGGGATCCTGGGGCTTTCTGCTGCTGATGGGAGGCCCAAGGTGCCCTGCAGCTCAGCTCCAGCTCCTCTCATCACCATCCCATGCCAACAAATGGCAAAAGTGGGGAAAAACAATGTCAGCCTGAGAAATTAATCCTCCTTCAAGCAGCTCTGTTTTGCTCACCTCTTTTCTTCCTTTGGACTGTACCTCCCACAGAGTGGCTGTGCCCACATGGAATGCTGTGGCAGCAGCTGACTCTCCAGGGCTGACTGCCCTTGGCTCTCCATGAGGCCCAGTAATTCATCGCCTGGTTTATCTTTCCTCTTTTCCAGAGCTATAATTCAGTAGGACACACCTGCCCTTTCCCTTTGAAGGGTGTTTCCTCCTCTCCCCAATACCCTGCTGTGGCAGCAGGTCCCCCCTCACCATGCAATGGGATAGAGGTGCTCCTCTGTCACCTACATGGGCATCTGAAAAGGCACGACACAGATCATCTGAGAAAATAATCTGGGTTGTCTTGTCAGCTGTCTGGACAAACACACAAGGAGGAAAGAAGAGAACCAACATCCAGTTAATGTTTTAACTGGGCATAGGCATGCCCTGGTGTGATTCACAGGCCAGAGCCCAGGCTCCTTGTTCCTGCCAAAGTGTTTCAGGGAAAAGGATTTGGGGAGGAAATATTAGGAGCAGAGACAACTGTGGTTATGCTGAACGTCTTCTACTTCAAGTCTGGCAGAACAAGAATCCTGAGTCTTTCCATGGACTTTGGACCAAGCTACAGTGGCTGAATTTCATCACCAGGTTACAAAAATGCCTGTGACTGCCCCTGAAACTGTGTTTCACCCTTTACTAGCTGGAGGTGTTCACTGCAGACTCTTGAAGCTTTTCTCAAAGAAGTATTTTGTTACATTTCAGTTCATTCATTTAATACAAAATGAACAGACTCACCTGCCCTGCCTCCAAATCCTATTTACAGTAGAAAACACAAATAAATGTGATTGTCTCCCATATCAGTTGGAGTTTTTTTCTTACACAGATGTTATGAATTATCCTCAATTCAAGGTGCCATTTCAGAATTAGAGCACATTTAAAAAATTTTATCGCGAATCACAAGAACTAAGGGTAGCATGTAAAGATTGTCAGAAAACAAAAACAATTGCCAGAAGAATCATAGGAAAAAATCCAATGCAAATTCCTTTCCTGGAGAGCCAGTCCTTTTAATAAAGTTTTTATTAGTGTGGAACAATTGAAAGTTATCTACAAAGCGCAGCATCCATTCTAGGGAGAATCTCCTGGTAATGTCAAAACCAGGTTTCCATCAGCATGGTAAACATGAAAGGAATTAACAGAAGTCACCCTGAAAAACAGCACTGTAGTAGAAAATATTTCCTGAGCTAAAAAAACCCAAACAAAAAAACCCCCAGTCAAATAAATACATCCATTAATTTGATAGAACTGGAAGCAAATACACTACAAATCCCAAATCATACAGAAAGATACAAGGCTGTGAACACTGCTGAAAATGACTGGTGGTGTTTGGTTTTTTTAGACGCTTTCCCCGTTCTTTTACATTATAAAGAAATTACAAACCAAGGTTACTCACTCAGTTCATATTTAAGTAGCGCCCCTTAAGCCCTGAAGCTCATACCCTCTGAATAACGCTGCTATGCACTTACTTAGCCCTTTACCCCTTCAAGGGCCTTTGCAGAAACTAATTAATTAGCTCTTCCAGCAGAAACGTGCTGCAGTGGAGAGCATGGGCTTAGTGCCGCTGTTCAGCTGGATTGGGGCTCAACCGCTGGGGGGCTGAGTTAACACAGGAGCCGCTGTCACATCTCTTAACACTCAAAACTGTGTTGAGCCACTCCAGCAAATACATACAGGGACCTCCCCTGAGACCCTCCAAAGCTTTTCGGGGCTTCTCCTTCTTCTCCTGATGAGATCCCCGGCTCCTGAGGAGGAGGGCACTCCAGAGCTCTGCCTGTCCCCACCTTCAATCAGGCACTGCTTTGGGGAAGGGCTGAGCTCCTTCCCCCCAGCTCAGCAGGACACACCTTCAAAAGAGAGTTTATTTACATTCTGTGGCAAAATTGTATCTTGTGAAAATTGTCCGTGTGCAAGTGTGAAGTTGTATCACTGTCTGCACATGTGCACACATATGTACCTGGAATGGGGAGATGGGAGGAAACATCCCTTGGAAACACAGCAAGACACCCAGCTGGTCGCAGGTATTATTCTGGAAAATTAGGGAGCTCATGTGTGCCATGGCCTCTTGTTTTTTTTGACAGAGCAAACCCAAAAATAGACAACAAAGAAAAAAAGGGTTGTGATAGCAGGGGGTTTGTTAGTATTTTTACGTGCCTCATTATGGAGAAGCCAAAACTGCTTTTCCCCTTCCCAGACCCCAGCCTATGGAGTGTCACCCACCTTCTCACAGGTCCTGGCTGTTCTTCATCCTGTCAGGGCCCTGGTTTTACTACCCACAAGTGATTATGCCCCTGGACTTCCTACACCTTTTGGTTCCTCCAGAAGAATAAGAAATGCTCATCCCTGTAATAAAAGGCAGTCTCTTAGATACATTTGAAGAGGGGAAAAAAGTAAAGAAATTAAAGAGGAGAGACAGTTTAAACCAGACAGTATTTGT